GTCATGAAAATGAAGGAGGATCGACATTGCAGCGTGGACTAACGTTCTTTTTTCGTTGGTCTAATTGACATTCCAGTGTTCAGTTAGTGTCTGGGTCGGCACATTTGCTGACCTTTCAGTGTTTGAATAGCCTCCGGTCCTCTCTTTGCAACATGAAGTGGTGGGCAGCTGCGAATATCTTAGATTATTAGGATATCTTAATATAATTCCCTTCAGGTGTACGGCAAAAGTGAATACCAAGCTCTTTGTACAAGTGTCAAAACTCCTCCTCTTTAAGAATCTTTATCGGGTGCTCGAATTAAAGTTTTCTACAGTATGGAATAACGATGGTTTTGAATTTAATCTCTCAAAATTTGGCCTTGCCCGTTTTGTTGTTTCTGCAAAAAAAGTTCATTTTACAACTTGTCAGGTGTACAAGTTTTGTAGGTGCTTACCGTATTTTCGTCAGGTCATGGGGTTGTTCGCATAGCACCAGCGACTCTGAGTACATGAGCGGAATTTTGGCTTGCGCTGGCTATGACGTCAAAAGTACCGATATTTTAGTCATTGATCTTTTGTATGTCACATGTACGTTTTTTTAGCCAGCGCAGAGGATGCTGACCTGTGGTTGTTAAACAGCTGTACCGTGAAAACTCCGTCTGAAGACCAGCTCAGAAACGAGGTACTAAGGGCGAAGCAACTCAGCAAGCTTGTCGTTGTTTCTGGCTGTGTGCCCCAGGCTGCACCGGCTACCGACTGGTTGAATGTAAGAAAATTATACACATCATTTCGTACAAATTTTATCAGCACCTTTCAGGAACTGTCTGTTGTTGGCGTCCACCAGATCGATCGAGTTGTGGAGGTCGTAGAAGAAACGCTAAAAGGCAATGTTATGAAGATTTTTGGAAATAAAAAATTAAAAAGCGGCCAACGGCTTCCTGGCGCCTCCCTAGCGTTACCGAAAATTAGACGCAACCCTCTAATTGAAATCTTAGCCATAAGTACTGGGTAAGTAATTGTAAGTGGCATTTCTTGTAAGTGACAGAGGATGACATTTGTATTCGGAGTGCAGTAGACATAATGTTGACATATGCATAGTGAGAAATGATGAACCACCATAGTGAGGGAACCGATGCGATGGAAAATGATGACTTAATTTCTTCTCAAAAGAGCATATTGTCTGACCCTCAAACTGGTAGAAAAATACCATTCTGATTAGAAAATTCTTTCAGTAGCGCGAAGCTCTGATTTACCCTGAAGGTTACGTCTGCCTCTTATTCGATCCTCTCGAAATCTTGTCAGTGCATGGGGTTACGAAGTCGGCATGCTGCTGATTCACAATAAAAACTAATACTGATGAAATCATTACTGTACTAACTTGTACGACTTTCAGCAATGTCCAGCGTCCCCAAAGCCATAATAGTACCAATCAGTTATCTAATTTTCTT